ACTACGGAAGCCCGAGGGTCTCACGGCGGGGCGCCGTGGAGCCAAAGGGCAAGCCCGCCTGGCCGGCCCGCCGACCCTCGGATTGGCACCCGCGGCCAGGGCCTTGCGCGCCCATTGGCTCTCGGTGGCGGTGGGCTTCCACCGGAGAGGCAGGGGCTTGTGGGGGGCGGGGTAAGAGGCGGTGACTGGCGTGTCCGTAGGCCCCGCCTCTTCCGCTTCTCCGGCCTGACCTTCCTCCTCCTGGGCCGTGTGACAGCCGACATTGCGGTTTCCTCGCGATTCGGTCCGACGCACCCCCCCCTTCGCGACATCATGGTGGCCTACTGGCGACAGGCTGGACTCAGGTAGGCCCTGGACACGCCCGTGCAGCCCCTGTGAAGGGCGCGGCGGGGACGGTGAATCCCGCCTGGTCGGGCCTGCCGCCGCCGGCATCCCAGGCTTCGGGCGCCGCCGCCAAGATGGCGTCAGTGTGGACAAGGCGCGCCGGCGGCGAGGCTCGGCGGCACGGAGTCGCCGGCCCGTCCCTGCAGCCCAGAGTAAAATGCCTCGGCAAATGTGACCTGTTTTTACCGGAAGAGAGTCTTCCTCTTCAGTTGTGCTTGGTTTATGTTGTAAGAGCAACAGAGCACGTAACTCGGGACACAGAGCAACAGATTGTTCTTGAGGTCACAAGCCACTGCTAACATCTGAAGCCTTCCAGCACCGAGGGGAGGTCTTTTAGGATGTTAAATGCATTTTCATTTTTAATTAGTCCCCGTTGGCCTCGGGGTTCCGTGTCATTGAAAAGGGGTGAAAGCCCCTCCCATCTGTGCAGAGTTCTGCACAAAGGTGCGAGGTGGCCGTTTGAGGACCGGCCATCTGACCTAACGAGGAGCCGGAGCCGTTAGTATAGTTAGGACGCCTGATTTCTGTGCTTCAGGCGGCACTGCTCCCTAGTCGGCTAGACGAAGTAGCACCTTCCAGGGGTAACATTCTGGGAGCATATGATTATCCAGCAACCACTGCCAGCCCGGGTTGCCTCACTGAGACAAGCAAATTTTTGTAGCCTTGGAAGGATAGTAGACCTACTAATACCCTGCGTATTTATTAAGCAGCCTGCTAAGGGAGCCATGCTTTTTCATGCTTCTCTTTTCTCCTCCTAACCCTTTGCAGGGCAGGTATTATCATCCTTTCATTCCGGTGTTTTTACAGGTGAATAAACAAGCTGAAAAGGTTGAATAGCCTGAAGGTCACCCAATTAAGATTGGAAGCAGGCATTGGAACTCATACTGATGATTTCCAGAACAAATTGGAAAACATCAAAAATAGACACCCACCACCTCTCCTTTCCTGTTTTCAAAAATTGTGAAAAGTAATGTGACTTTTTTGAGGAAAATAAGATGTTGATGAGAGTACCACCTACCAAACAGGAAGCAGGCTTTTGGGTATTTTGTTAGAATTGATGATGCACTTTGAGGGCCTTCCAGTCTAATTTAGAAACCTTGATTAGGAAGTATTTTTAATGGCAATCTTGTAGACAGAATCCATTATTCTCAGGAAAGTGTTTAAATAACTTACCAGAGAAAGAAATGTTATGATTCATTTTTTTTTTCTTTTAATTATATGTACCTTGCTTTGTAAGAATGGAACAATTAAAAGAAAAGGTTTTAAGTAGAAAAATGAGGGGGATCATCCATGTTATAATCTATTAACATTTTGGTCTCTTTGATTTGCTGTGTGTGGTTTTTTTTTTTTTTAAATATTCATTTTAAATGAATACCCTAAGGCACCAAGACAAAACAGTACCAAGAGGAAAATCAGGACCACCTATCCAAGCACCAGCTAATAGTTTGACACATTTCTTTCTAATCTTTTTTGTTTGTATAGATTCTTTTTGGTATTAGCAGCTTTTAAATGTATTTTTGCAATAATGTACAACCAAACCAAAAATAAAAATACAGAAACACAAAAACAAAGTAATAGTTGTCTGGTGGGATTCGGGTATTAATAATTAACATTGTATCTTTCATTGTCTTCTAGCTACATTCGATACTCCCAGATCTGTGCAAAAGCAGTGAGGGATGCCCTGAAGACAGAATTCAAAGCAAATGCAGAGAAGACTTCTGGCAGCAGCATAAAAATTGTGAAAGTCAAAAAAGAATAATCAGTAAGTTACTGAATTATTTAGAAAATAATTAGAAAAGTTGTAATTTTTTTTACCTTTTAATAATTTTATTTGTTTATGCACTAACATGAATAAGCAGTCATATAGGAAGAAAGAAAATGACAAATACTAACTCTTCAAAGTGTATGTTGGGATTAAGTAAATACAGTTTTTCTTGAAGCTGCTTTAGTTCTATAGATAATTCTTTTTTTTCTTTTTTTGACTTACCAGTACATGTTTGCAGTACATGATATTTATATTCACTGGAGGGGATTGGCATATGTATAGAGGACAGATTCATTTATCTTATAAGATTCTGTAAAATTAATTGTCATATATCCAGATTGAAAAACAGACTGATAGGCCAAAGATCATATAAAACATGTAAGACAACTGTATAGAAAAGTTGCATTTAAAATTTTTAGAGCACCATAAAAATCAAACTAATTTTAGTTTGAGGTTCTGTCCTTTTTTTTTGGTCAGAGCATTTGAAATTTAGTTATTGAGGTAATAATTTAAAGTATACAGGTTATAGAAGTCTTTTGGCATGATAAAAGAATGTCCTTTCGGGCTCTGACAACCAGAAGTAATAAGCACATTGATTTTCAGTTCATTTAGCAATGCTTAGGTAGAGAGCCATCTTATTTTAATTAAACCTCTTCCATTTGCACAAAATCAAATAATTTGGAGGAGAAACTCCCCACTTTTATAATTGCTATTAGAATTACATAATAGATCAGGAGCATGAAAAATTAAAGTTCTTTGAATTTTTTATTTCTCCCACATCTGCTAATGTCCTCACAGATCACTACTTCCGGAACATACGGCCACAGTTACAGGCAAGGATCCTGCTATTTTATCAAGCAGACCCTGGCTACTTTATCTGCAGAACCCTGTAGTGAATCCTGTTTTGTTAAATTTATTTTTGCTTTCAGAATGTTTGTTCCTTTTACTTCTGCAGAGATGTTAGTGGTGTGAGCTACATTCTCATGTAATAAAGACAGTCCTGTACAGTTAAGTTCAGACTTTTTGCTCCAAACTACAAAAGTGATTTGATCTCCCTGCTACTCTCTTGATATTGTTACTTCAAACACAAGCAAGGAAAATTATCGGAGATGTTTTTCAGATTTAATTTTCTTGTTTTGCTTTTTTAAAAGCCTCAGACCTGCAGTAGCACAGAAGCATGATAAATATTAATCCTTTGGCAGCTTGTGTTTATGAGCAATTTTACTTATCGGAACTGTCTCCCTTCGGCACTTTGCATTTTCATTTTGAATTAGTAAATATTTTATTGCAAGTCTGTAGATGTGGTGTGTTGAATTTAGCCCTTTTTTAGGGGTTCTCCATCCAGTCCCATAATTCTTGGTGTTTTGAACTTAGCCCTTTTTTAGGGGTTCTCCATCCAGTCCCATAATCCTTGGTTTGATGCTGGGTGGTTCTGTTGCAGCCGGGAGCTAACAGAGAGCCTCACTTGGCCTCCTGCAGAGGTGCCGTGCCAAATACTGCATCTGACTCCCACCACCTTGCCGTATCTGTGGGGTCAGGAAGTTTTGTCCAGCTCCTGCAGACTAAGGATGGGTCCTTCTTGTGCTCTGCAGCAAAGGGCACTCCACCCTATTAGCACAGGGGGATTTTAGTGTCTTTTAAAGGCATAATTGTTTGTTTGGTTTTTTTGTTTGGTGTTTTGTTTTGTTTTGTTTTGTTTTTGTTTTTGAGAAGACAGTGTCATTTTACTGAGCGGGAATGCACCTCGTCGGCTGAAGCTGTTGATGCAGTCAGCCAGGGCTCACACACCCTCCCCTGTGAATTGCAGCCACAGTTGCTATAGTTCACTATAAGGATGTTGTTTCTCTTATTAGTGTTGGGTGTTTAAAAAAACACATAGAACCAGCTAGCAACTGTTGCATTTTCTTTTTTCTTCCTAGACCCTGACTAGAGCTTGAAATGCTACATTTTCACCCTGAAGATGTATGGGCACATGTTATGGTAGATTGTAATCAATGTCATTTTGTGAGGGGAAAAAGTACCTATCTTATTCATCCATTAATGATACCAATAAACTGATGTATGGTTTACTGTTACTGTTGGCTTTTGTTTTCTGTTGGGACTTTTTCTGTATAGAAGCTACCTGCAAAACTGCATGGTTAGAACCATATGAAGCAGAGCTTTGCAAAGGGGGAAAAGATCTGTGGTATTTAGTGACTAAAGGGACACGGAAAACATTATTTAAATATCTCAAAATAGAAAATGCTGTTTCTTTTGACCTTAATTGATGATCAAAATTAGATACTATCACTGAAGCGTTGCTGTCCCTAATCTTTGAATTACAGAGTCCCATTAGAGCAGTTCTGTCGTTATCCACCGGCTTCTTGCTTTTGTCTCCACCTCTAAGTAAAGTAGCACTGGTTAGCCAGTACCATAAATGAAAGTAATTACTAAAAGCATATATTAAAGAACAATTGCTAAATTGCAATTAAGTAATCATAGCCCTTTTTTTTTTATTGTGCAACTAAAACTAGAGAAGAACTATTAACATTAGAATTTATGCACAAAGTGCTTGTCAGTTTTACTTATAGCTGAACGTATATCCTGGTAGCATTTCTCATAGGAAATGAGACAAAGCTGTTGAACACCTTGCTTACTGAGATATTTGCAGGTCTGGGGGATAATGATTAGAACAGTTTTGTGGTATTTGAATGGTCATTAAATATTTAGGGATGAAAAATTATTGGAAGTGTTTTCATTTTACTTTTCAAACTTGGAAGCTTTTGGCTGTGTAAAATATTGCAAAGTTAATTGCACATTTTAACTTTTTGGAGAATGGAGAAATGAATGGAAACAGGAATTTTCAAAGAATTCTTTCTATGATACTTAAGCTCACAGTAACTTACCGGGGCTAGAGATGAGGCTGAAGAATGTCTTTGTTCTCCCTTTCTGGGGATGGCTTCCTGCCCCCTGACACTTGATCTATAGATTTCATTGAATTTTAGCACAGGGCACAAAGAGGACCAGCAGATTGAGAGAGAGCCAGTTTGCTGGACAGCAGCGAGTCAGGAGATCCTGGAATTGCCTTAACATCAGCTGTGATCCTGCTCACAAGTTAAAGCACCTGAGTTCAGAGCCACAGTTCCCAAGATTAAGGTACTAGAAAGTAGCCTCCATTAAAAGGGTAGGAATAAATGATTTACAAGGCTATAGGGATTTTTTTTAATATCAAACAAATAAAGTCTCTAATAGGCAAAGGGATAAATTGTTTCTAACCAAGTAATTAAGAGATAAGTCATTTATTAAGGAAGCAGGTGGGATAACTAGTGGTGAAACTTTGGGGCAGGGCTTGTGAGATGAAAAGGGTTAAAGTAACTGAATAAAAGACAAAATTTATCATCCAACAAAGATTCTTTGAGGCTTTGTGACTTAAAAAAGTAAATCCTGAACCAGTACTAGGATGAAATGAACTTCTGCAACCACCATTCAGAGATATGTGCAGGACAACTGCACAAATGAGAAGCCCCCAATCGCTGAGATGTGGACGTTTTGCTAAGTAGAGGGATTTTGGTTAAGGCAATCAGTTAATCTTTCTGTTCGCGTCGTGTCTTTGTGTGCGAGAGGAAGGAGTCGGACAAACTCTAAAACTCCATAATCCTGCTCTCAGTCTCTGAGAGACCAGTGTCGCCGTAGCAACCATACCGCTAAAGGAATAAGCTCTTCAAAATCAAGGAGAGAGTTCTCTGGGTTTCTAGTTTATTTTACTCTATTTGTACCATATGAAAGAGTAGGATGGTGAGATGCATTTTGAAATATTTTTAACTAAAATCAATCAGTCTGGGTAGTTAGATTCCAAGAAAAGGAATTTAGTCTGAAATAAACAATTCAACCATTTAAAATTAAATGTCTTTGTACTTTTAATGATTACTGTTGAGCAAACAAGTCTTTACAGTAATATAAATCAGTGAAAGTTTTTTTTTAGAAGATCTAAGTCTGTGTCTTTGCTTCCATCTATTTAATTGCCTTTTAAATTTGAGAAGGAACGTGCCAGAGAAACCATATGTATAAATTCTTACCTAATCACAGGTTGTCTTTTTAGCATCTAAAGAAGTTATTCAAACTAAGAGTGTATATGTGCAATTTCTTACTAAATCTAGTGCTTCTTCAACCACAAAAGTGTTTAAAATGTTATTTTGTGCTTGTTTAATTGGGCTAATAGCTTATCAGGAAGACCCACAGCAAGTTCCAATTCTCTCTTCATGTGCATCTGTTATTTCCTCACGATGCACATGTGAAAAAACTTTTTCAGAAAGAACAGATCATCTGTCCACCTGTTACTTCATTATTCCCGATTACAAAAGCAAATCAGGACAGGAGGTCCTAGTTGCCTGCAAGTAAAGTACTTCTCAAGTGAGGGTCAGAGTATTTTCCCAGTACTCCTTATCCATGGGTCAAGTAGTATAGCACAGTGGTCATTCTAGAAGGCTGTCCCGACCCTGGTACTGGAAGGGATGGCAGTAGTGCTGCATGTCATAATAGGTAAACCATAATGAAGAAATTATGGATGATTTGATTTGCTCTTGTGTATCTGGTCCTGTTGTAATGTGAGCAGATTAAAATCATGTAATAGTTAAAGCTGTGTCATCATGAAAACATTTATGGCAACTTGTGCAGATTAATTTGAACTGTAAAAGTTCCCTAATGAGATGATGTCCTCTGTCACCGAGAAGGACACCGCAGCCGTTCCTGCCGGATTCCCACGTTTGAGCAGCTGCCGAGTATGTAAAGTGCCCTTTCTCAGCATAGAAGCTTGGGGGGGCGGGGCTGGTAATTGAATGGAAAGTGAAAAGAACATTTCCAAATCACCTTTAAAAGGAAACCAAAGATGATTATTAATGAATTTCCAGAACCTAATTCTAACAAGAAATTAAAATACATATTCTGAAAGCTAATTAGAAATAAAAGGATTTTTCAGTGGATTGGAGCTATTCAGTTTTGTCTGTTTTGACATGCTTTTTATTTCTTGGCCAGGGATTTCTGTGGAGAGGACTATGGCCTTTCTCTCCTCCCTGTTCCCTTTGCAGTTAGTGCACTGAGGGGTCCCCAAGGTCTACACAGTTGACTTAGGGACACGGGCTCCTGCGTGCTGGTCAGACACCTGGCTTTTCTGGAGGCCTCAGGCACAGGCAGGCAGGACTCCAGGCAGTGTGCAAAGAGGAAGAGGCTGATGTAAAAGTCCTAGCAGCCCAGGGATGCCTGGTACCTCTCAGTGCTGATGGTGAAGGTGAATACCAACGGAGCAGCTCTCTGCGAACCCACTCAGGTAGTCCAGGTGCCCAGCATAGGGCTAGGCGTGCAGTCCTCTAGAATCCTCGAAAGCTCAGGCAGTGATTCACAGTAAATCCATTTTGCTGTTACAAAGTGAAGTTAATGGGGTATGCAGTGCATATCAAAGCTGTGTGGTTAGTAGCTGGGCGAGACCCTATTGCCACAGCCATCTCACCCTGCCCCCAGTCCCACCTCACTGGCAGGGCTGCTGCACCGAGCAGGCTGCACGTGCTGCAGGACAGACATGAGCCTAGGGTGGCTCCCTCACACCTCGGGCTCCTTATCTTCCACTTCCCTCTCAGCCTCCTCCAGGACCTCTTCATTTTCCTCCAGGACTTTGGCATCTTGAAATTGTTGGTACTCAGACACCAAATCATGGATATTACTTTCGGCTTCCCCGAATTCACTTATGTCCATCCCTTCGCTGGTGTACCAGTGCACAAAAGCTCTCCTTCTGAACATGGCTGAGAAGTGCTCAGAAACCCTGTTGAAGAGCTCTTGGATAGCTGTGTTATTGCCTATGAAGGTGGCCGCCATGTTCAGCCCCCGGGGCGGGATGTCGCAGACAGCCACCTTGACGTTGTTAGGGATCCACTCCACAAAACAGCTGCTGTTCCTTGTCTGCACAGACAGCAGCTGTTGGTCCACTTCTTTGGTGGACATCTTACCCCGGAAGATGCAGGCCACGGTCAGGTAGCGGCCACGGCGTGGGTCACAGGCAGCCATGGTGTTGCGGGCATCAAACATCTGCTGCGTGAGCTCAGCTACGGAGAGGGCCCGGTACTGCTGGCTGCCCTGGGCTGTGAGAGGGGCAAAGCCAGGCATGAAGAAGTGCAGGCGAGGGAAGGGTACCATGTTCACGGCCAGCTTGCGCAGGTCTGCGTTGAGCTGGCCAGGGAACCGCAGCGAGGTGGTGATACCGCTCACGGTTAAGGACACCAGGTGGTTGAGATCCCCGTAGGTGGGTGTCGTCAGCTTCAGGGTGCGGAAACAAATGTCATAGAGCGCCTCGTTGTCGATGCAGAAGCAGGCATCTGTGTTCTCGATCAGCTGGTGGATGGACAGCACCGCGTTGTAGGGCTCCACCACCGTGTCGGACACCTTGGGCGAAGGCATGACGCTGAAGGAGTTGAGGATGCGGTCTGGGTACTCCTCCCTGATCTTGTTCATGAGCAGCGTGCCCATGCCTGAGCCCGTGCCCCCGCCCAGGGAGTGGACAATCTGGAAGCCCTGCAGGCAGTCGCAGTTCTCACTCTCGCTCCTCACCACATCCATGACCGTTTCTATCAGCTCAGCACCCTCCGTGTAATGGCCCTTTGCCCAGTTGTTGCCAGCCCCAGAGTTACCTGTGGTAAGAAGGTGAAAAGAAGGAGAGGTGAGGTGAGAAGGCACCACTAGGAGGCATCCTAATCTCTTCCAGGTAGAACCTTCTGGAGAAACCTACCGTGGACAAAACTGTCCGGTTGGAAGAGGGCTCCTAATTTGCTGGATCGGATGCTATCCATTGTCCCGGGCTCTAGGTCCACCAGCACTGCTCGGGGCACATACTTCTTACCTGAGCAGAAAAACAGGAAGAAGTCAGCAAACTGTTGTTTTTCTAAAAGTTAATGTTTCATCAAGGTGGAACCTTGTGATACTGGCCTAAATAGCATGGGTATTCTAGAAAGGACCCATTATCTCCCTGACCCTAACAGCAATCACACAAACCTATAAAATACCTTCAAAAAATACTTTTTCATCATTGTGCATGAGTCTACTTATCATGGCTTATGACTGCAGTGACTGCCTCCCCCCACTTGCCTGCCTCATGAACAGGGGTGGGGACCCCCACACTCAGCACCCTAGTGTCCTGCCTCACGTGAGGCTTGGCTTCTCCGCTGGCCACCAGCCCTACCGTAAGCTTCATTGTAATACACGCTGATTCGCTCCAGCTGCAGGGCGGAGGCCCCGCGGTCGCTCCCCGTGCAGTCAATGCCGTGTTCCTCGCCGATCATCTCCCAGAACTAAAGGCAGGAAGAGGGAGAGGTCAGTGTAGAGTGGTCCCCAAATGTGCTGTCTGCCCCACAGAGTTAGCACGCTCGCCTGGCTTGCGCAGCTTGCCTCGACCGCCCCAAGCCAGCTCTCTTGTTCCTTTTCGTAAATGACCAGGGCATAATTCACTTTTTCCCTGTAGTAAGTGTGACTATAAAGACTGCATTTTCTACCACCCGAACTCCCGAAGTAAAATGTCAAACACATAAAATATTAAATTAGATTTTTCTCCTATTAAATTCAAGCCATTATACACATTAAAGCTGTCGTTTTAGAATTTTACATCAGACAATGTGTCTCTAATTTTGCCTTGTAGTGTTCTAAGCTGGTAAAGTGTAGATCCTATTAAATGAAAATAAACTGAGTTCTTATCTGATTTCACAATAATACCTCATTTCACTTTGGGGATTTCTTTTCATGAGGTTTCCAAAAAGCCCATCACCAGGACCTCTGCATGATTTTAAGTAATATGCACTTTTGATTATCACGCGTACACATAATTCAAAATTATGTATAGCTGTCATAGTTTGGAGCATATCACATGCACAGTATTTATTAATATAACTGTGTGTCGAGCTCTTAATATGGAAGCAGTTACTGGGATGACCCCTTTTGATCACATTTAAGTGCAGTGAAAATATATTCACTTCTGTCAAAACCCCAAGGATATTTCCCCGAACATAGCTCCAAATGATGCCTCTGCTCTGTCCTTGGTCTTCATAATAAAGCCTTATTTTATAATAAGCTACCAGCACTGTTCAGGGCATGGAAGAGTAAATAAATTGAAAATTAGAGACACCATGAATTAATTGTGTCAAAGTTTTCATGTTCCCCAGATAAGTCATTCTGGGGCTCTAACCATTAGGCAACACCGTCCTGGAGCAAAAGCAAGCTCCTATCTCCGTCATGCACTTCCTGTCCAGGGCTTCTCTCCATGTTATCTTTCCATGGCAGAGTGGGGGACTTGTCCACCGCTTCCCTGTGTGTTAGCTATGAACATTTGTCACTCTGGCATGCAAGGCTGATGATTGCTTTCCGAGCGGTGATATTTTTGCCCCATAAAATTAAAAGACCTGCCCTGACAGACCTTAGTTTTTTCATAGCAGCACCATTCACAATAGGTAAGAGATGGAAACAACCCAAATGTCCATCCATGGATGAAAGGGTAAGCAACATGTGGTATGTGCATTCAATGAAATACTACTCAGCCTTAAAATGAAATTCTGATACCTGCTACCACAACATGGTTGAGCTTTGATGACATCATGATACTTGACATAAGCCAGTCTCAAAGGGATAAATACTGCATGACTCCATTGAACTAAGGTACGTACCATGATCAGATTCCTAGAGAAAGTAGAATGGTTGTTCCAAGGGACATTAGGGACAGAGTCCCAGTTTTGTAAAATGAAAGTCATTTTGGAGATTGGATGACTATATTTAACATGACTCAACTATACACAAGATGGTTTTCAAGCAAATTTTATGCAGTATGTTGTTTTTAAAATTTTCTTCCTTTTTAAGGCTGCATAATAGCCCATTGGGATAGACCATATCTTGTGTATCCATTCACCCATCAGAATGGTTATTTCTACCTTTGAGCTTTTATGGGGAATGTTGCTGTGAAAAAAGGGAAGATCTAAGGTAGATGTTTCAAAACCTTACTTTTAATGCAATTAATACTAGCAAAGGAATTTCAGAATAGCAGAAAGAACATGTTAGATAGGTGTCACACAGTATACTGTTTGAGTTAAAATTAGGATGAGATCTTGGGCTCTAGCACCTATCTTTTGGGTATTAGCCAACTGAATCAGATACTTGGAAGAAAAGTTTTAAGCAGGAGGGCAGAGGAGAGAAAAACTCATTTATATCTCAAAGGGCATGTTTTAATTTCTGCCACTGTACACAAAAGCTTTTGGACTTTCCTCAATTTTTTATTCCACACTTAATAAAACAATAATGTTTTTTCTGTGTAACATAAACATGAGATGGAAAGAAAAAGACTATTGCTGGGCATGTTGCATGCCTGTAATCCCAGCACTCAGCAGGCTGAGGCAGGAGGATCATTTCAGGTTCAAGGCCAGCCTGGGCTACAAAGTGAGTTCAAAGCCAACCTGAACTATATATGGAGACCCTGTCTCAAACAAACAAACAAACAATGACTATATTGATATGGTATAAAAAGTTTCCCAACAGGGGCCAGAGATACAGTTCAATGGCACAAGCACCTGCCTGGCAAGTACAAGTTCCTGAGTTCAAGTCCTGGTACCAAATAAACAAAAAAAACAAAAACGAAATAAAAAAAAGGAATTAAAAAAATTTCCCAACAAACCAGAAAACTTTTGAGAAAAATTAGTTTTTATTTATTTTTGTAATTACTGTTTTTAGATATGAGAGTTCATTACCAAGATGATAAAAGTAAAATGGTTGACATATGTATTATATATATGTAACCTCTGACACCAGTAACATTAATTTGTTTGTTTGTTTTCCGGTACCAGGAATTGAACTCATGACCTTGCGCTTGCCAGGCAGGTACTTTGCTGCTGAGCTAAATCCCCAGCCCCTGCAGTAACATTAATTAATTAACCTTTTAAGTCTTTAATAGTTCCCGTATCTATGTAACTACAGACCTTGTAATAAACTGTGTAGGAAGCGCATCCTTCTCCCTGCTAACCTGCGGTTTTCCTCCTTGGCCACATCTGTGGGCGGAGGGAAGCTGGTACAGAACTAACCATCAGGCTTTACCTACCTTCGTTCCAATCTGGTTGCCGCACTGGCCAATCTGAATGTGCACAATTTCCCGCATCCTTGCTTTAAGCCCAAGGGTAAGATCTTGAAATGCTCAGCCTCTGCCAAGGGCCACCACTGTTCACCAAGTGCCAGCTCAGTACAACTTAAGTCCCCGCAGGGCTGGGAGCAGCTGCCCAAGCTCTCCTCCCACTGCCCCAAGGGTGTGTCCCGCCCGCCGAGAGTCCAGCCCACTTTCTTCCCAGCTCTCTGTCACCCTTCTAAGGGGATGCTTCTTCTCCCTGCAGAATACAGCCTCATCATTTCCTAGTGTGAGCACAAGACCAAAGGTTACCCTTGCATGGTGCCCAGAGCTGGTGCCATCCGCAGGTCCCTGGTGAGATCTGAGCCTTGGCTCCCATTCACCTGTGTGAACGGAACCACCTGCAGAAGGGCCTCCCTGTCTGAGCACTCATCTCACCTCAACCCTCCCTTGACCTGTTGCTTCGGCTGTTTCTGAAGGAGCCATCTGAGAGCCACTGGTGGCACCGAGGTGATGCTGAGGGGTGCACGGGTGGACGCTCTACTTTTAGGTCATAAACTTTAATGTTAATGGAAAAATAACGAGTACATAGAATAACAAAACAATCATGAGAAGGGCCGGGGATATAGCTCAGTGGCATAAGCGCCTGCCTGGCAAGCTCAAGATCCAGAGTTGGATACCCAGTACCAAAAAAAAAATCATGAGAGAAAATTTACTCTTTGAACTTTACTGAAGTTATAAAGGTGACAGCAATTCTTAAGAGCTTAAGATACCATCATTAAGAGAGAAAACCCAAACTCTACAGCTTGGCATCCAGGCCTTACCCACCTGTGTGCAAATGTCTTCCTGGCCCCTGTTCTAGACATTGGTGCTTGGAAACCCTCTACTGTGACAGGACCAGAGAAACTGTCCCATAGGCTTGGACCCAAAGGTGGTGTGACACTGGACCCAGAGCCAGAAGCCCTTCAGGTCCTCACTTTTTGTCTTGACCGGACCAGTGACCTTGGCCATACCTTTGGAGCCAAGCCCTGACACTCCATCTCCATGTGCACTCTCTAGACTGAACTGGGGTACCCATTAATGTACCCCAATCCTCAGCAGATCCTGCAGAAGGGAATAGGGCTGCTCTAATGAACAGTATTAGGACCCTTACCAAAATTTAAATATGACCTGAACATGGAATAATAATATTGTCCCCATTCTATTTCTTGGTTTTGATCATAACGCAGTGGTCCCGCAAGTGGAAATCTCTGCGTCCAGGAGACACGACACTGTGGCCCTTTGGGGTCCTGCTGTCCCAAAGCCAGCAACTCATAAGACGGTAGAAACAGCGTCATGGGTGTGGAGCCTCTGGCAAAGGCTGGCAGACATAAGGACGGGGGGATCTTCTCAAAGCTGAGAACAGTGCTTTGACGTGTTTCTCTGGGCTTGGAATTGAGTCCTATGTGAATCTGAATGACCACATAATTCCCAGGTGCTTCTGCCCCACCCACCCACCCAAGCAGGGTAAAGAGCAAGTGTAAACTCGGGAGGGAGGATGTCCTATGTGCTCCTTGGGAGTTCTCACAAATTAAGAAATACACACAGAGGGACCATGGAACCTCCCCAGAAGTAAGCGTATTCTCTTGGCCCGGGGCATGGCCCCTTTCTCTCTTCCCTGTCTTCCAGACCCCCACAGCTTGAAGGCGGCTCCACGACTGCCTTACCAGAGACCTCCCCACACTCAGGACAGAGCACTTAAGCCCACGGGGGCCCCAGGTGGTCCTGTTTGCTGATTGCTTCTACACATGCCTTATCTCCCCCAGCCACATCACCTCCGAGTCCCAAAGCGCCCGCTGCATCCCAGGCCCTCAGCAAATGTTTGCTGAGCGCACGTCAACAGCTGGGCGAGTTTGAGCAGTGGTCAGCAAGTTTTCTTAAAGCCAATAATGTATTTATTCAGGACTATGACCTTCTCATGGTTGGGTGGGGGCGTGGTACCCAAGGACTTTTTCCTCCATTCCCTGAGAGGTGGTCTAGGCTGAAAGTATAAACTGTTCCAAGAAACCTGGCCTGTGGAGCAGATTGGAGGGGAAACAGCCACAAGCGAGCTATTATGGGAAGCCATGGCCATGGTGGGCCTGGCCTCTGGGGCAGAGCGGCTGAAAGGGACCGGTGTAGCCACACACCAGCTCGCTGTGGGGACCACTGGCCGGGCTGGAGGGCATTTGTGATCTCCCTGTGTTCATTCTTTACAGTATGAGCGGAACCCAGTGTGCTGCCCCGGCTGCCCAGCACATTCCTCTCGGCCATCTCAGTTTGCTTAGGGAGGAAAAGGCCAGGTTTCCAGATGGGTGCTTAAAAGGCTTTTCTGTTAATGGGGCAGTTGGCAAAAGGGGGGAAAGCGAAGCCTGTTTGCTTTGATTCCTGTATCGCCAGCAGTGTTTATTCAGTCTCAGCGGGGGCTACGGAGAGGACTAGACAGGGCAGAGACCAGCCGGGGGAGCTGGAGCCCAATTCTGCTGCCAGCCCTGCACTTTTTTTCAGGTGTAAGATGGGGTAACAGTCTGTCTCAAGAACTGAGTACATGGGGCCAGTGATATAGCACAGCGCCTGCCTGGCAAACACAAGGTCGTGAGTTCAATTCCTGGTACCAAAAAAAAAAAAGAACTGAGTACATGGTGGGTGCCCCCCAGCATGCTTTGCGGCAGGCTACTGCACAGCAGCCTGATAGCATAGAAGAGGTGACTTGGCTGTCTGCGAAGATGCGCCTATCCCTTCCACCCCTGCGAACGGAGGCTTCAAACACTACATGGGCATAGATGCTGAATCTCGATGCCTGGGCAGAGCACAGGGTAGGAAATGCTGTGCACTTGAAAAGCAGTCCACCCTGTCTCAGTCTTTCGTCCTTACTGATGAAGGTGCCTGTCCCCAAGGTGGGAGTTCTCCGGTTCCCAGTGTGGCACAAGCCACCGACGTGAATATTTTGTGCTGTGCCCTCTGACCAGCAGAAGCGGCCTTCTGTCAGGAAACAGAGGAGCAGGGCCCCTGAAGAGGCCCGCGTCAGCCCGCGTCTGCTCCCCTGCCAGGCTGCAAGTGACCCCAGCCCTGAACCGCGGCAAGTGATTAGCAGTGGCTATCTACGATGAATAACAAAGTCGTTTTCTGCCCCTAGAGAGGAGCTGTGGCAGAGGCAGGTGAGCAGTGACGGCACTCAGGGGCAGAACTTTGCCTGACATTGCCCAAGAGGGCAGAGGGCAGGAGCAAGAGCTCCGCTCAGCGCGCACGGGGGCAGCCCTGGAAGCCACTGCCGAGACACTGAGACTGAACCAGGACCCCAGCCCGGCACCCGAAGCCCCTTCTCCTCCAGCCGGCTGTCACAGTTCGTGGTCCACAAGAAGCCTTGCGGGGAGACTTTTCCTGGATGACACTTGCGTCTATTATGGGACTAGGACCAAGAAGATAAGAAAAGCCACGAGTCACCCAGAAACCCCCAATCGGCCACTTGCAGACTTCCCCCGAGAGCTGTCCGCAGGAGTCGGATGGAACGCCCCTCCCCAACTTGGCAAATGAAATATAATTAGTAGAAAAACAGAGTACTCAGAATTCATTGATTTCATCCGCCCCTCATCTTCCACTTCTGAGTACATGGAAGTTCCTTGAATAACTCTGAGAAGATTGTTGAATTATAGTGTTTGCTTGTGATTCAGAAGCAGAAATTTTTCCAAATGCCTTAGCATGAAAATGACATCTGAGGGGCCATTATAAGTGACTCAGCGGGTGTGGGCAGCCCCTTCGATGAGCTGAGCTCTACTTTCTTGCTCTCTGCTTCCTTGTGTGTTCTCTTCCTGGCAAAGAAAGTTCTGGGAGAATGAATAAGTAACTTCAAGGGGAGAGGGGCTGGGAGGACATCGATGTTTTTCACAATGCCAGGTTCCCAAGTTTCACAGAGGAGTCTTCATCTTCCTCCCCTACAGCTTAGGCAGTCCAGCCTGCAGCCTGGAGACTGTGGAGATGCCTGGCCATCTCTTGGGTACCTTGACCACAAGCTCCTAAACTGTGCCCTCTCTCTCTCTCTCTCTCTTTCACACACACACACACACACACACACACACACACACACACACACACGTGCCCCAAACGGCTGTGATTCTGCAGGTGATAGATGCACCAGCCTTGTAAATTGCATCTTCCCATCTCCCCAGGTGTGCTGCTACTGATAAGCAAGATTCTGCGGTGGAGCTAGAGATAAGCATAATACTGTCGGCTCCTGGAGCCAAAATCAAACAAAAATACTTCTTCAAATCCTATATTTGTCTAAGAACTTTGTTGTGTGAGTCTCTTTGTCCAACACTGAGCACTGTTTCAGGGGATCAGAAGACCTTAACGGAGTAAAAGCTGAGCACTGTTTCAGGGGATCAGAAGACCTTAACGGAGTAAAAGCACAGACTCTGCCCTCCAGGGATGTGGAGGAGGAGGAGAGCGCTAGAGTCCCAGCCAGCATCTGGCACAGAACTGCTCACTGGGCCTGCATACCACCAGCAGCACCCCTAAGCTGAGTGCGGTCCTCTGTGTGTTGTAGCAGCAGAGACTGCTCAGGGGCAACCTTCTGCACCTCCAAGGTGTAGTCAGAGGTGTCAAGACCAGGACCCTCGAGTGCTCACGGCGAGCCTCCCATCCTTTTGCTGGCTTCTCTATGCCTCTCCAGCAGTGCTGTTCCTCCACTGCCATCTGCTATCCCCTCCAGAGCCCCCAGCAGACCTCCAGGCCCACCTCTCTCCAGCCCTCCAGCCCCAGATCGCCAGACAGCCTACAAACACAAGTGAGTTCTCGCCCTCCATGCTCCTGCCGTGACAAGCAGCCAGGGTGGAACCGGAATCTCTCTGTGGCCGCTGAGACCCTTCACTACCTGAGACGGGCGGGAAGCCTGGGACAGCAGAACCCAGGGGAGGGACCTATGGGGAGGTAGGCCAGAAGCTTGGCGCCCACCGGTGGGGTGGTGGGAAGTGGCAGCTAGGCCCTCTGCAGCATGGCGGCCTGACAGCTCCCCAGGGACTCCCCACGGCTCATCACATCTTCTGGAGGGCTCCCTCACCCAGGCCTGGGCATACCCTGTTCCTCCCGCACATTCCGTGCCTGTGCCTCATCATTCAGTGCCAACTCATAGGCTACGGAGGAGAATGGTCCTAGACCAAACTGTCCAGAGGCCTCCAGTCACTAGGACTGCCCGTTTTCCCAGCTCCAAGCAC